CTCAATCTGCCTATTGTAACGGAATATAACTGTAAAGCTCCATCAATGTACAGCTTTCTCGTTTAGGCACTGGCTCCGCCGTTTTATACATATATTTATATACCCTTTTCAACTTGTAAATTTGACAAATTAATTTTCTGGGCCTGTGTGGCTTTTGAAAGGCATTGTCCCTACAATTAACTTTTGTTTGTGGGCAAGTCCTAGGTCCTGATCAATGTGGTGTGCATGTTCAAATCATTGGGACCTGCTCCTTGAGTAAATGGATTCACTTAAGACTGTTTCAATGTGATTTTTTTTTTGTTGTCTTGCAGGAATCTCTAATATCTCAGTTCAAGAAGCTGAAGACTATAGTCTGTGAAACCTGTACAGCACAGAAGAGAACTTTGCAATCCTGGAAAAGGAAAGTTGATCGTTGATCCGAACAGCACACCAGTACTAAATAGAAGACAAAATGTTTTTGAGGGCATGTCACTTGTTGATTTTTATAAGCTAAATAGTGTTATTTCATTGGGATAGCAGTCCATTGTCTTATTCTATATTCAAAAACTTTGAGTAGAACTAGAAAATAATGTGTAATGTTGTATTAATAAATTCAATATTGAAAATGTTATATTTTTAAAAGGGCTAATCAAGCAGTTTTAGTGTATAGATCATGCTCTGTCCGACAATCTCACCACTTAATTATTTGCCATTTAGGAGTTAAATCACTTTTGTTTCTGTTTATGCAACCCTAGCCACATCCTGGGAAATCCTTTTGCTGGCATACCCTTGCAAACTTGATAGCACTGGATGGCATGATATTTTTTACAGGTTTTCCGAGGTCTATTATAAATAGTGATATATAGATCTGAGGTGTCAATCCAGGTAGTGGTCAATCAGTCCACTCGGCGCCCAGGAGGTCCTCAGGCAGGGGTGCTGCGGACAGCCCTTTGCCACGATGATACCATCCCAGTGCTGATACGATACAGTGAATTCTCTAACGGAGGAAAGGCCTCATTTCTTTTTGTTTTTTTTAACGTTTTTCTCCTTTTCCCAATTGCCAAGCCCAGCACTGTACTCACTATCCTCATTGAAGTGACTTACACTTTTGATTTTCTAAGGTCCACTGGATCTGCCTGATCATAGTTAGTAATGCTTGCATTATCTGTTTGACCACGGGCACACAGTTATATTGCCTATGCAATTCATGTCTGTATTGATGTTCCTGGGTAATTTTATTGTTTTTGAATGCAGCAGTTTTCCTATATGATCTACCACTGCTAATTACATGTTACTTATGTTATTATTTGAAAAGGTTCTGCACTTATATGCTTACTTATTACTATACTGCTTTCCACCTAAGCATACGGTTTCCTGCAGGAAGATTGGCCCCCTGCAAAAGATAGCTTTGCGTACACTTACCTCATATGCAATATACAGTTAAAACACGATAGGCTATCATCCACTGTAGCGCATCCCCTCGGTAACCTGACAGTCACCTGTGCTTGCTCCCTTCCTTCAGCCGTTCAGGAACCATTTAGCAGGCACAGCGATCCAGTTCTCCCCTGTAACTAGCTGTCTTAGTCCTTACAAGACTAAGGACTTGCTGAGTCCCCTGGAACAGCAGACACAGGGGTTAAATCTTCCTTCTCTTCAGTAACCAGACAACACACAGTTCTGAAGGTTAAAACACTGACAATCTTTATTGAAACCAGGCAGGAGGGAGCTGGGTTATAGATAGCCATCTCCCACTCTTGGAGATACCAACAGTACACAGGGACACACATTAAAACACATTACAAAGTCAAAACATATGGATATTCCTTGTACATGGCACTTAGTGGCAGTGGCCCGCTACATCCACTTATAGGCCTAGATTGTGTAAGCTTCTTAGATTGTGTTAGCTTCTTGGACTTCAATTTGAGACTTATCTCGTGCAGACATAGATACAATGTTGGCTACTTACCTGGCTTCAGTCTTGTCATAACTAAAGACAAAAAGTCCCTTTATTGCCAGAGTAGCGCCTATCTGTTAGTTTATTGATACTTGCTCCACACATGTCAGATATTTGATTAACATATGATTATTAGTAGTTCTCCTAAGTGATATGCCATTCTTGGAAGCAGTTCTGTTAATGTATGCTTACTAATTTCTGATATGTGATTTTGCTTCATAATGCCTTATTTAGCCTCTGCGCAGACTTACGTAAACGTACTTTACTACATCACTGTTTGACTACCTTAACTGCAAATAAAACAAAAATAATGTAAAACAAATGTCAGAACAGGTAACAATGGATCATAAGTGACTATTTCAATCCCCTTCTCACCGGTCTTACATGTTCCCAGCTTGCACCGCTGCAATCTATAATGAATACGGCTGCGAGGCTTATTTTCCTGTCCGGTCGCACCTCCCACGCCTCCACGCTCTGTCAGTCCCTGCATTGGCTTCCAGTTAGATATAGGGCCCAATTCAAAATTCTGGCGCTTGCTTACAAATCCCTACATAATGCTGCTCCAACATACCTATCCTCCCTCATACACAAGTATGTCCCGTCGAGACCCCTGCGCTCAGCCCAAGACCTACTCCTTTCCTCTGCCCAGATCCCCACCTCTGATGCTCGCCTTCAAGACTTCTCCAGGGCTGCACCTATTCTGTGGAACTCCCTTCCCTCCTCAATCAGACTTTCACCCAGCCTCCATTCCTTCAAAAAATCTTTGAAAACTCACTTCTTCATTAAAGCGTATCAATTAAACTGTCAGCAGGTTTCTCATCCCCCACCCCATGACTCCGTTCCTTCACCTGTCAAAAATGACCTACCAAGCACTCAATAAACCCTTCTGTAACAAACTATTTAATTCCCCTACTTTAACCCTTTGTGTCACTATACCCCACTCCCTCTAGCATGTAAGCTCATCGAGCAGGGCCCTCAACCCCCTCTGTTCCTGTACGTCAGTGGTCTGATCTCAATTATGTGTCTGTTAGTCCACCCATTGTACAGAGCTACGGAATTTGTTGGCGCTATATAAATAATAAAATAATAATAATAAGTGGAATTCACTTCTAGGTCAAAATATCCTGAGGATCTATCAAGAAAGACGAAATGGCAGGAGACAGGTACAAAAATGGATGGCGAGCAGAGGTAAAATAATCTCTGTAGCCAAAGTGTCAGGTTAATCAAGCCCTATGGAACTTATTAGTCTTAGTCAAGTCATGGGGCAGCCACATCCTGTGGGAAGAGCAGCTCCAAGTCTTGAAAGTAGTGCCTTGATGAATCGTGCCATTTTCACATAGGTGTCAAGGAGACCGGAGCTGAAACATCCAACTTTGCACAGGATGCCACTATTGCTGAATCTAATCAGTCAGTGTCCTGTGTAAAAATTAATATTTTAAAATTAAAATGAATTCTTGCAAAACATTATCCTTAATCTTTTTTATTATGTTAAGAAACAGATTAAATAACTGGGATTAAATATTTATACAGGCATACCCCGCTTTATATACACTCACTTTAAGTACACTTGCGAGTACAGACATACCTGCGAGTGTACATAAAGGTGCCTCGTGAGTACAGACATTCCCGCGCCTCTTCTGTCCGCGAGTGAACAGGAAATGGAAGGTTCTATTCCCGCCCGGAGCAACTCAGTTCATTGTCTTCGGGGCAAGATCTTTTCACACCTTCTGACATGGCACAGGTTAATCATCTCAAATTTATAATGTCTACTCCTAGCTGAACATATATATGTATTTTTTTTTTTGCCCCTACATTGTCCGTATTCTGCAATCGGCGCCATCCAGTGAAAGGGTTTAACCTGCCATTTTCTATAACTCTAACTTAGCAGCTTAGCTGCATTAGCCACAATTCTGAGGATTCAAAGTTAAACCATAAATGCTTAAAGTGATGAAGAGGTGTTTCTAAACAAATTGTGCAACTAAGCTGCTAACAAATAAAAATTGGCACTGTATTGACAGAAAATGGCCCAATGGGCAGGTTTATTTTACTTTTCCTCCCAGTTTAAGGTTGTCAGATGAGTAAAACATTAAAGATAAATAGTACAATCTGGAATGAGATTTTTCTTTTTACTGTTTGTTTTAACTTGCAACTGTCATTAGTCTAATACTATCCTTACCTTTTGTGTCACTTTACCCCACTCCCTCGAGCATGTAAGCTCATTGAGCAGGGCCCTCAACCCCTCTGTTCCTCTGTGTCCAACTAGTCTGGTTACAACTACATGTCTGTTCGTCCACCCACTGTAAAGCGCTGCAAAATTTGTTGGCGCTATATAAATAATAACATAATATTAACAGAATAAAAACCCACTGGAAATCACTAAATAAATCACTGGAAATAAAATCACTGGAAATCTGCAGTTGCAGTATCAGTTATGCCTGTAAATTACTATTGCAATGCAGTACATGCATTGGGAAGTGAAAAAAGGTATTGCTTCACTTTAAGTACATTTTTGTTTTACATACATGCTCTGGTCCCATTGTGTACTTAAAAGTGGGGTATGCCTATAAGTAGGACCAAGTTTGGCCTCAGTTATAAACCTGTAGCTATGACATTATGTATGTTTAATTATTGCCAGTGATGTTATAAAGCTCTGAGGGTTCAAATTAGGGTTGGGTAAGTTATTTTAACCTCTCTCACACCCTATTCTTACCCTAACCCTTGGGGTAAGGGTTAAAATAAAGTGTGAAAATTCACAATGTATAGATATTCCCCTAATGTGAAATGTCACTAAATATAAACAAGTCCCTAATCCTAACCCTAATTTGAACCCTAACATTAACCCTAAATGTCCCATGTCCTAAGCTTAGCGAATGCACTAAGTATAATGAAAGTGTAAAACTAGCTTTACTTACCTTCCAGGATCTTGCTGTGGAGGCGTAGCAGGAGTGCTAGCACGCATGTGCAGCACAGGATCCAGCTGATTCCCCTCACCGGAAGTGACGAGGGTAGGGGATTTTCGGAGGTAGGAGAATTTGATAGAACACTGGACATCTACCAGCAGGGTAAGCCCAAACGTGACGCTGCGCGCAGTCATAAGTATAGCGTGGCAACGTCACAGACATGGGCTAGATGAATACATACCATCAGCTGATCAGCACACTCCCCCCTAATTAGCCCTCGTGATTGGTAGTGTCACGAGCGCAATAAAAAATAAGCATAGAGCCAGGTATATTTACTGCAGCAAGCACTTTACCAATTGAGAAAGCCGTCTGTATACAGCAAAATGCGTTTCAGGATAAACAGATCACCAGGACTTTTTTTTATAGTATCCATTTATTTTATGGTTTTAATTGGTTTTTAAACATTATTTCAATAAATTGATTACACAGACATAGTGTCCAGTGGATCATCTCCTGCTGCAATACCCAAAGGAAGGATTGTGTCTTCCTTAAAGGCACATCTACCTATATACTTAGAGCCGAGTCTGGGCTCTTTACAAGGTGAGAAGCAAACTATACCATGTATTTATCCATTTCTATCAAAGGTTTAATGCACTAGGAGTATTTTTGCTTCCAGATCTCTGTTCCTTTCTTCCTGTATATATGAGGACATATCATAAGGACATCTCAATAAGGACTAAAGAAAGAAGAGGTCTTGTGTCACCTTAGGACACACAAGCGAATGTGATTTGAGCCTGTCCTTATTGGCTCTCCCCCATGTGAGTGTATCCTTTGGGAATATATATATTCCAATTTACCATACTGTTATACACTATATATATTCTGTTATTCCTTATAGCACTTCAGTGCTGTATTAAACCATTAGGGGTAAGTGTATACATTTTTTAGGGCTCCGCACGTTTAACTATTGGTGTACTGTGTACCATATAGCATTTTATTATTTTTGGTCATATTGTGATGGGTTGGGAGTCCCTATTATGGTATGGTAGTTGCTAATTAATAACAATAATTGCACTTTAATTTATAAGAAGTACCTTAAAACACAGAGCACTTTTGTTTTTTTTATTAAAATGCTGTCTGTATAGCAAACGTCAAGATGCTGAGGAGCAGGGGGTGGTGACAACTATGGATTGCTACACTTCTTGGAAGGTAGCAGTGGCATTCTCACGAACAGACTTCTGTTCTTGCTGTGTTTGGGAACCGGCATCCGTACAAACTGAGTTCTGTTTGTAGTATAGGTGAGTAGCGTTCGCATGAACAGAGGTGGCGTTTGTACACATGAAGTTTTTCCTTCTGTATCCGGTAAGTGGCGTTCGTGCGAGATGAGGTGCTGTGCTCGCATGAACGTGAGTGGTCGGTGTGGGTTATTGAACCGACCACGCTGCCTCTGGGGTCACACTCTGACATGGCGTCCTCATGGAGTGAGAGAGTGTTACCGCGTTGGAGCGCAAGGTGAGTGTGGGAGTGAGGTCCTGATAAAGATATCTACACAGATGTATTCTGCATATATTCATAGTTGACACACTTTGCATATACATGTTTTTCACCCACATGACATGCTCACAATTATACAATATACCTGAAAATTTTCTGGAAAAACTGGAAACACACAGAAATAAATTTGCATACAAGATATTCACATAAATTACATGTCATTTTGTGATTTATGTCCTTTGCAGGTATGGCTAAACAGAGGCAATTCATGACACACAAGCTATCTCTCAGATGTCTTCAGCGCCTTCTGCAAATGCATAGCTTCCAACACTAGAAGTGTTAAAATTGGGATGGGTGGGCAGGCCTTTAAAGGGGCATCTCCAATGATGCAACTTGGGTCACTGGTACCAAACAAAATGTGTGTGAATGGTGTGTGTCAGCCTGGAGTCAAGCATGCTAAGCCGACAGACAGAATCCCGGCTGTCCCTCAACCTACAGGACCATGCAGAGATTGCTACTGTAGTGCTCGCTAGATGGTCCTAGTTCCTACTGCATAGCACGAGTCTGTGTAAATGCACTCACACTGTGGTGCTCGTGGACAATTTTATAGTGTCTCCAGATGCGGGGCACCGGGGAATTAAAATCAGGATGGTGGGACAGGACCAGTTGAGATCCCTGTAAATAGGAAATAAAACTTGCTGTGACAACTTCTTCCCCATTTTGAAGAGTTAGCAAATTGATATCATAATCAAGTTCAGCCTAGGAACTGCACATGCAAACATTATAAATAAGGAGGATAAACAGAAACATTAAATTTTTCCTCTTTTCTCTATGCTTACCCTATGTTAACTGTCAGATGCAAAGAACAGAGAATATGACTCACAGGGGCAACTAGATGCAGTATATAAAACCGTTTCTAAATGTAAAATTTTTTTAATTTAGGGATATGTAAACATAATATAAAAAATCTTGGAAAGTTGCAGTTCCCCACTTACCAAGCATTAAAAACACTTACTGGAGGGCAGAGCTTAGCCTCTGAGGAAGATGGATGCTTGAATCCACAGCTCCCTCTCCCCAAATCACTTAATCCGCTAACATCAGTGACTCTCACGTCTCCTATCCATCAATTCCGACCCCACAACCCTCCCAGAGCCTAGTACATACCCCACGAAGATGGGTAGCGGAGAAAAGATGAAAGACAACACACCATAGGTTGCCTCACTGTTCCGCACTCCAAGAGACACGCAGAGGCCTACCAACTCCCAGCGGACAGAAGACTCTGCATCAGAATCGGAAGGAACTGAATTCATGCCCAACTCTGCGGCTCCCTTACCATCGGAGTCCTCCGAAATATGTTGAGGGATGCCACGTCAAATATTAAGGCCCACGTGGCCACGGAACTGGGCAAGCAGATCGCAGGCCTCATAGAAGACATGGAGGCCTTGACTTCCCATACCACTGAGGTGGAGACCCGGATCTTGAAACTCGCCAATGCCACCTCTGCCCAGACTCAAGATATCGCATACTTCCATGGGCGAATTTCCACTATTGAAGGACCTCAACAATAGATCTAGACGCAACAAAAGTCGCCTCTGAGGCCTACCAGAGACCGTCACGCCTGAGCTGCTTATCCCCAAACTCAGGGACATTTTCAAAGCCATGGCTCCAGAGCTCTACACCACAGATCTAGAAATGGATAGAGCCCACAGGGCGCTGCGTCCTCTGGCCCTCACCACCTTGAGCCCGAGAGACGTGATCATTCGCCTTCACTTCTTCCCCATGAAGGAAGAGCTGTTGTCACTCGGATCATCCACCACGGTATCAAGACTCCCGTCTGACTTTCTTCCAGGACTTAGCCCCAAACACGCTTAAGAAGAGGAGAGACCTCAAGCCCCTCACGTTAGCCCTTCATCAACATGGGCTGAAATACATGTGGGGATACGCCTTTAAGCTCATTGTTAAAAAAGATGGACAAACTCATATCTTAACCAACGTCTCCAAAATGGAACCTTTTGTGGACTCTGTGGGCGTACAATTGCAGGATATTCAAACCTTACCCAGGAATAGGGTAGAAACACAGCCCAGTGACAGACTAGTTCTCCTCGCCCTCTTAAAAACAAGAAAATGCAGCAAGAGCCTGACGGAGCAGCAGCAGGATCTCACCGCACCTAATTGGTCATCCTTCTCTGGAGGCAGCAGAACAACACCTGATCATCCACCTCGTTACTTCCTCACGGTGCCCTGGAAGACTTCAGGACTGGTAACACAACCCCCGGGTCATCATAGACTCACACAGCCGATATTCCCACCCCTAGAGATCTAGCCCTATACTCCCATCCTTGCCCCCTGTCACCACTGAGATCGAGTGGGCGCATTCCCCTCTGCCCTCACTACCAACCCGAAATACCTTCTCCATACGCAGTGGGCATATCTATCCCTTGGTGAACCGGGTGACCTAGGGCCATCCTGCAGTAACACAGACTCCCCTCCTGATGGCCGGCTTTCCCTACCTCAGCGTTCTATGTGGGTGTCCAACCCCCTCCAGCCATTTCCCACAGCATTAAAACAGGTCCATACCCCCGAAATCAAGTGCCCCACTCCCCGACCTGGGAAGGCTCTTACTCTGCCCTCCCCTCCCAGTCGGACCTACAGGGTGTCTGACGCGGACCTCCCCAGACTCTTTCTCAGGTGGAGACCTACCCATGTCTCACCCCAATGAGAACCGACTGCTCAAACTATCATTTGTGTGCCTTCCAGCTTGATTGTCATTCTGATTGCTTAAAATGCTTTATTGTACTGAAATGCAGATGTATAAAATCAGGTGCAGGAACCATCTTGTCCCCCCTTACCCTGACCCACATGTTACATGGCAAAGTCCTATGGGACAGATCCGAGAGGTATGCCACAACTTTCTACAGAATATGCAGTCTCCCCATCCACCTACTGGTCCTGGAGAAGGCCAGTTCAAGGGTGGACCACTTACAGGGCAGGTCATCTAGGGTGGGCTCCACCTCCCCCCTCTGCGGACGCTAATTCACTTGTGCCGGCCCTCCTAATCATACCCCTACCCCCTGAAGTCTCTCTTCAACAATGCCAGCGACCACATCTTGTGTTTCCCTTAATTGCAAAGGGCTGAACAACCCCGCTAAACGCCATTAACTCTTGCGATGGGCGAACAGAACCAAAGCTGAAATTATTCTCCTCCAAGAGAGACATTACGACCATTCTAGATCCTTCCCTCTACGTAACCGAAACTACAGAGAATGCTATATGGCAAACTCAATCACAGGGAAAAATAATGGAGTGGCTATAATGGTCCATATGTCATGTCCTATTCATTTCTCCCAGTCTTTCCCAGACCCCCAAGGTAGATTCCTGACTATAACAGGTCACGTCAGCAACCATAAATACATTATTACCTCCATATACGCCCCCAACACCCCTGACCAACTCTTCTGGACAGCTCTGCGAGCACACCTGAAATTGTTCTCTTCCCACCATTTTATACTGGGTGGCGATTATAACACGGTCCTGTCCTCCCCCACCGACAGGAGACAGGGCACCGTTCACAGGGCGCGGGTGCCCCCCACGGCCAGAGTTGACAAATTACTTTTGAACTTTGTAACGAACACAGGCCTCCAAAATATATGGAGACTTCAACACCCCACTACACAGGACTTTACCTTCTTTTCACACCCACATTTAATCGACCTGTTTCTAATATCACCTTCACTGATACCCCACTCTACGATGACCGTCATCGGATCAATCACCTGGTCGGACCACGCGGACATCTCCTTCACGTTCAAGGTCCCCCAGGTGGCCAGAACATGGTCCTGGAGCTTAAATCCCACTCTACTACACAACACACACATTTGAGCGACAATCCAACAAGAATTGAACAACTATTTTACCCTCAACACAAATTCCGTCCCCTCAGTCACCACTATTTGGGCAGCCCACAAGGCAGTAATTAGGGGTAAATTAATAGCTGAAGCCACAGCGCACAAACAAAGACTACCGTTGGAACTGGAAACACATCTAACCGCACTCAGAAACATGGAAGCCAGACACAAAAATAACCCCACTCCCAAACTGACAAATCAGATTAAAACACACCAACAAGTCATTAAAAATGTTATGGCTAAAGACACTCAGAAAGCCCTTTAATGGACCAGACAACTATATTATGAAAACAACAAGACAGATACCCTTCTTGCCCGTAAACTCCGCCACAAGACTCTAGCCAAACGCATAGATAAAATCTCTTCGCCTGACGGGCACATATACGATAACCCCGATAATATTGCCTTAGAACAAACATTTGCCTGATCCCTAAACCAAATAAAACACACCTAGATCCGCGTCACTACCGACTGATATCACTTCTAATCATGGACACTAAAATATTTACAAAATTCCTAGTCAACCGCATTCAACCCTTTCAAAACTCATACATCCGGACCAGGTAGGTTTTATCCCTACACGCCAAGCATGCGACGCACACTTGACCTGATTTGGGTAGTCCAACACAGACAAATTCAAACACTCCTCTCAATGGACGCCGAAAAGGCGTTTGACCGCCTACTCTGGCCTTTTCTCTTTGCGATTCTACAAAAATTCTGCTTCCCAAACTCCTTTATCAAGGCACTTCAATCCCTCTATGATGAACCAGCAGCTACCCTCCTCATCCCCAATGCACATGCACTAGAATTTACAATACACAATGGAAAACAGCAGGGCTGCTTGCTGTCCCCCCTTTAATTCGCCTTATCCCTAGAACCTCTTCTCCAGAAAATAAGCACCCCGACAATTACAGGGATCAAGTTTAGAAAGAGCGAATATAAAACTGCGGCTTATGCGGACAACATTCTCCTCACCATCACGGACCTATGCCGCTCCTTACCCCCTGAACTTCAGATCCTTGACGACTATGCTAACCTCCCAGGGTACAAACTAAATCTTGATAAAACGGAAGGTCTCCCGCTAGGCATCCCACAAATGTCCCCAAACCATCTTTCCCAACCCTACCCTTTCAAATACAACACTCAAAGCCTCCACTATCTTGGAACACACCTTCCAATTGACCTCTCCAAAACATATGCCTTGAACTACTCACAGCTACTCCAACAAACACATGACAATCTACAGAGGTGGAAACCCATGTCCATATCATGGTTAGGCAGAATTGCCACTATAAAAATTAACCTTCTCCCCCATTTCCTTTACCTATTCCAAGCCCACCCTGTCCACATCTCGAAACAAGACTTCAAACTGTTCCAAACAAAAATAGATAACTTCGTTTGGGCAGGCAAAAAGCCAAGAATCAAAAGGTCCACAATGCATATAACTACTAGAGCAGGAGTTCTGGGCCTCCCGAATCTTTACCACTATTTCCAGGCCGCTAAGTTAGCGCAAGTTCAGAACCTACACACACCAGCAGGCATGAAACTGTGGGTAGATCTCGAACATGATCTCATGGGAAGGGATCTCCCCAGACACAGATACCTGCTGGAAAAACTGTGGAGACAAGGGCACATTTATTCACCTATGGTGGGAATGCCCATCGGTCTTGCAGCTATGGGTTGGGGTCTCTGACCTCGCCTCCAAGATCCTACACACTGACATACCCTTGGACCCCTGAATTTAGTTGCTCTCAAAACCATACGCTACTCTCACCAGAGCACAGAACAATCTGGTGGCAAAGCTCGCACTAGCTGCCAGACGCACAATCGCGGAACAATAGGGCAACCACACCAAACCTTCCCTTGCGGTAATGCTTCCCAAGACAGCCGAGATCATGGAGATGGATTAGCTATTAACTATAATCCATGAAAACAACAAAACACTTCCATAAAATCTGGGATCCCTGGATCCTGGAGCACAACCACAGCTCGTGGAGGGGGTCCTCACCCTGGGGTTTAATCCCACCACTACCCCCTATACCTAAAGCGCCTCTATTTCCCTCCTTATCTTCCCACTCTACTCCCCTCAACTCCTACCCGTCTTTTCTTTCCCTCTCCTCCCTCCCCAGAACTCCTCCCCTCTCCACACCAATCCCTAAACCCCCCACACAATGGAAAAAGTAGTACGATCCAACACGACAGCCCACACACACAGGGAACCTGTTCAGCAACCACTTCACCAACTCAACCCTTCCCATCAGACTCCTGACCCTCTCTAAACACACTAGGTTCAATCACGGTCAGACATCGCAACTAGTCTGATGACTTTTCCACACCAATGCCATCAACTACGGACTTCCTCTTTGACGCCATTCGATGAGGAAGTACAGAGCCAACACTGCGGTTTAGGGACCGTCACACAAATGGGCTACACATCCAAGTTAACATATCTGTAATCCCTGGCTCCGCTTAAATAACTGTCTATAAAATTGGCTGGATAAGTACTAGCATCAATACCAGCAACAATGAAGCCAGCTCTACTCAATCCTCCCTTTTGTTCCTAACCACATATGCTACATAGAGTTTAAAGAGGTTCACATTATCTGTATGGTGATTTTAAGTTGAACAACCGTGTGTTTTGGCCTTTTATTTGGATACCAAAACAATTTTTTTTCATTGACCTGCACCCATTCCCCTTTCTTTATTCTGTATCCCCCTATTACTGATGAAAAATCAACCAATAAATAAAAAAATAAAAATTTTTTTTTTTTAAAACACTTACAGGGGACACCGATATGCTCCTTTAAGGTGGGCTCACACCTGGTCATCGTCATCTTCTAAGCTGCTCACACACAGTTATGGATCTATACCTCCCATTCTTGAGAAGTATGCATATGTGGCTGTTGTAGGACATCTTTTGCATAGGTGTATAAAGCAGGCACAGTTACATCTTCTTATGAGGTTCACATGAGAGACCACTTTTCTCAAGAAAAATGCATGATGTAGCAGCCATATTAAAATCATGTTTGACTCTGACACATGCTAGCTTATTATTGTAGTCTGACACAGAATACTTCAATTCTTTGTTAAAATCTTGTTTATACTGTATAAAAATGTTTTAATTCTTTATTTTATTTGTGCACGAGATAACGAGATAACATAAAAGCTGACAATGCCACAACAGCATAGTACAAGCCCATTAAAGCAAGGTATTTCACATAGATGGCATTGAATTATTGGCAAATGTTTTTGTATTTGTAAGAGGATAAACAAGCTAGGTACACACATCTAATAGGAAGTCACTGGAGTGACAAACAGTAACATCAGTAAGCATAATGTAGTGGGCATTAAGAGTAACTGTGATGCAACTTAATGTTGCGTATGATCTGGCAGCATGACTAGTCTAGATAATGCTATACAGTTAACTGTTCTAAGATAGGCTAATCTAACTGTCAATGCTTCAGGTATACGAGCGGCAAAACAGCCATATAACACATTTAAACGAAACTTTGCGTTAGTGGGCCTGTGTGTACAATTTTATAGTAAGTAGATAAACATGCAGGAAAATTCAAAATATGATAGCAGGAATTGGTGAGACTCATTCACATATGTGTAGATCATGCTAGACTTGCGGACGCTGATTTAATCGCATAACATGCTGGCTAGGAGTATAAAAACAGGTTAGGTACACCGTCACAGGTTATGTAGATAGATAAAAACAAGCTATTAGCAGGTTTAATACCTGACTCACTGATTTGTTTGTTAGCCTGAGCGAGTTCAGTGGAGCTAGTGTCTAGTTGTCTAGGCTATGCTAGGCTGTCTATTGCTGCCTGGGGTTGTGTAACATGCTGGATGGAATCGTATAACATGCTAGCTGGAGTCATATTAACAGGCTAGTGACTGGTGTGACCTCTGTAACGCCTCTCTTGTAATATAGCATGTATTGACATAGGCAGGCAACTAAGGACGCCTAAACATAAAAAAGAAAAAACAAAAACAAAGTTTAAGCACACAATCAACAGCTTTGTTTGTCTGGGTACAGACGGGTTAAGCTGTTGTTGCATGTCCTAGCGGGTGGCATGGGTACTGTGCTCGGGAACAATTGGCACTGTAAGCCAACGCCTCAGCTTTGTGTTGCCACATAATCCCTGGGAGCTGCTGGGTAGTAGATCATCCGATGTCCCGTCTGGAGGCTGTGAGTGCAGTTGTGGGGTGGATGTCAGTGAGCTACCCCGTCCGCGCCTCGGGACCCTCTGTGTTCACATGGGCTTCTCTGTGTATTCCAGGTGGGGCGCTCTTCCTGCCCTGAGACTCTGTGAGAGCCGGTACCACCATTTCACGGACCCATTGCCGTTTTGGGGCCTGGTCCTTCCCCAGTGTGGGGCTGCGTAGGGCAGCACTTTGCCGCTTCCGTGGGTGCTTTGCTCTCTTCCGCAGGTGTGTGTGGCTTGTGGGGGTCTTACCCCTTATGACTCTTATCCCAGACGGGCTTTCATTCTTGTTTTTCATCGGCTTAGCTTTGCCCGGTTGGGGCCCCTCCGGTTGCGCCTTGGTCTTGCGCCGGTCTGGGAATGGCTCCCGTGCTGCGGTTGCCTTGGTCCCTCCGCTGGCCCGTGGTGGCTTTGGTGAATGGTATCGATCCTCCAGACGGTTCCAGAATTGCCTGCATATGGTGTCGAACCTCGTCTGGAAGGCTGCGGCCCAGTCAGTGGGTGCTTGTGTTGTGTGGGGGCGGTGCCGTCAGCCATCTTAGTGAGGCCTTGTGTCTCCCGCCAGGCAGCCTTGCGACCTGATTCAAGTTGTGGATGAGTGCTCACGTTTTGGGGGTAGACTGGGATGACCCCCGCCGGACCATGGGGAATGTGGACCCTGGCACAGAAGCTCAGTCGGTCGTGGCGGCAGAGGAGCGGCCCCTGCACTCGCCATGCTTGTAGGCCTCAGTCTCCTATCAGGCAAATGTTGCTCCAAACGGCTCGTAAGTATCAATTCGTGCTGCTGGTTGTCGCCTTTTGTTTGGTGATTGTCTCGCTTCAATAAATTGTTGTTTGGGCAATGAAAGTTCACTTTAATCGTTGCCCGCAGCAGGAGCTGTTGAGGTTTGCTTCCGCTCATCTCTGCGGTCAGGCTCCGCCCCTGTGTACATTTTTTAATGACATGGAACGCAACTCAAGTTCAGAAAATCCTAATGCTCTCAGGAGTTCTGTGCAGTGGTTGCTCTTGTGATGCTTAAATGGCAACTGTCGAAATCGTTTTTTTTTTTAAGTTTATTACATCTAATGAAATTTAATGCTTTTATTAAAGGACCACTATAGTGCCAGGAAAACATACTCGTTTTCCTGGCACTATAGTGCCCTGAGGGTGCCCCCACCCTCAGGGTCTCCCTCCAGCCCGGCTCTGGAAGGGGGAAAGGGGGAAAAACTTACCTTTTTCCAGCGCTGGGCGGGGAGCTCTCCTCCTCCATTCCTCCCCATCGGCTGAATGCGCACGCGCGGCAAGAGCTGCGCGCGCATTCAGCCGGTCGCATAGGAAAGCATTATCAATGCTTTCCTATGGACCCTTGCGTGCTCTCACTGTGATTTTCACAGTGAGAATCACGCAAGCGCCTCTAGCGGCTGTCAATGAGACAGCCGCTAGAGGCTTTGGGGGAAGGCTTAACCCATTCATAAACATAGCAGTTTCTCTGAAACTGCTATGTTTATAAAATAATGGGTTAACCCTATAAGGACCTGGCACCCAGACCACTTCATTAAGCTGAAGTGGTCCTTTAAATTATGTATTATGATTTTTTGGGGGAGAAAATTTCACTATTTTATTTTATTAAGGCTGAGCAGCCATGTTGGATCAGACCTTTCTGTTATCTGATCCACTAAACTTAAATTACCTGCTCCTGTGATTGCTGTGTGTAACACGGTGGCTAACAGTAAAGTATTATCCCCAGCTTCTTTGGCCTTTTCTCTTTGGTGATCTAGCAGTCCGTTCTCATCCAGTCTTAGAGTTGGCATTTATTTTTCAGACCAATATATTTTGTTGTAGTGTACTTATA